GGGCTGAGGTGGCACGCGCGGGGCCGTCGCCGCAGTGTATGTGCCTATCAGGTGTAAGGCACCCTCTGAAGGTGGCAAACACAACGCTATCTGACGAGGGATATGGTTGTTGTTTCCAGATTTGTCGGGTACGGTGGTTGGCAGGAGGTCTTCCTACGATGTGCCGAACTACCCTTCCGCGAACTACCCTGTGCCGGGCTATCTCGTAAGCGGCAAGATAAGCCGAGCTATCTGGCCCGAGGTATCTTTACCTCGGGGCATCTATAGGCGGATCGGTGTGTTCATGTCTAGGAGTGGTCCGAGATCCACTGGGAGGAGCTCGGGTATTAGGAAAGGTCAGGGGGCCCCGAGCTCGGAGGTAGCTCGGGATGCCTTAACCCCCGGGGTGGCAATGCAGGCCAGGCGGCTCCCGGCGAGTAGTCTATTCCGTCGAGTTGTCGGGCTGAGCTCGGTGGGACCTTCATTCCAAGTTGCGGTTGTGCCTGTTGTGCTGTCACGCTGAATCATCGTTTGAGCAAGGTCACGCACACGTGTACCCGTGCTACGAGGTCGGGCCAAATCATCCTCCATCAATACTTAATACTCGTGTATCATGACTTGCACAATTATTATTGTTATTTATTTAAGCTTTTAATTTTTTAATATCAATTATAATATTAAAGAGTATCAATTAACCCAGTTTGAGCAAATTTAGCTTCATCCATCTTTTAAAACTTGTGATCAACACCCATTCTAATGAATCATAATCTTTTTTGTGCAAAATTATAGTAAGCTCCTTTGTGAATTATCCTCTTAATTGATCCATATTGGGGTTAACCCCCTTCCAATAGATGTTTCTCGATGTAAATCTTTGATTAACAATCATTGCATATCCAATGTTTATGTCTTTAAGATTTAAAATGTGTTAACCATTCCATTCCGAAGTGGAGGTGGCTACTTTGTCTCCTATTCAAGTTTAGGAAATTCCCCAATTCAGCTATCTTTGAGTATCCATTGTTTTGAATCATCTGAATATGACATTTTGCATTATGTTTTTCTTAATTGATTGATCAATTAAAAATCTCATTTGAAAGTCATTCATTACATGATGAATTGTATTTTCCAATCAATCATTCCATACTTTTAAAAATCATCTAGAAGTAGCTTCTAGATAGTCATATCATTTTCCACCCTATATCGTAGAAATCAATATTTGATCATAATAATTATGTTTGTTTTAAAGTCCCTCGCGTCATCAGAATCCCTTGTGGCAATAAAGCCCTTCATAGCCTCAAAGTCCCTTGTGGCAATAAACCCGTTATGGCATCAAAGCCCTTCATGACCCTAAAGTCCCTCGTGGCATCAAAGTCCCGTATGGTAGTAAAGTCCTTTATGGCATCAAAGCCCTTCATGGCACCAAAAGTCCCTCACGACAAAGTATCAATGCATCATGGCTTAACATGCTAAAAGTCTTGAATACCATAAGTTTTGTTTTTTCCCAACTTATAGTGGATTGTCTAATTT